TGCGCCCCCTCCCACCCCTGGCTCACCTGGGTCCCCTCCCACCCCTGGCTCACCTGGGTCCCCTCCCTCCCCTGGCTCACCTGGGCCCCCTCCCTCCCCTGGCTCACCTCTGCAAGGGTGAGTCCTTCCTCCAGCTCCAATTTCTCAGCGAGGCCCGAAAGATCCAGCTGTGGGTCCGAGGAAAGCAGTTCTGCCAGGAATCGCGGGTGGATGACTGCCTCCACCTGGGACAGAAGGAACAGGCTGCGGGCAACCTTGGCAGGGAGCAGCCTGGGGCCCGGGAGGGCCTGGAGGGGAAGTGGAAAAGTGAAGACCCACCCAGCCTTCTGCACAAGGCAGGATGTTTTAACCATCACGGTCACTGGTTACACACACACAGACGGGCACACACACACACATGCATACAGGCATGTGCACACACACACACACACAGACAGGCACACACGCAGACAACAACTTCACACACGCAAACACGAAGAGAGACAAAGCCTATACATGCATACGCACGTACAAACCCACACAAGTGCATATTCACACACACACCCCAAACACATATGTGCACACACACAGACACAGAAGCACGCACAATGGCAAACAAACATATTCACGCATACATATGCACACACAGAGGCACGCATGTACACATACACACGGACAACCCCACAAGGCTCTCACACACACGCACATTTGCACATGCACACAAGTACACCGACATGAATGCATACAAGTTCACACATGCACACACTACTAAAGGCACAAACACATACATGCATTCCCATGCAAACAAGCACACATACACTCACACACAAGTGCACACATGCACACAAGTACACACGTGTACACACAGGCACATATGCACACGCACACAAGTACACACATGTGCACACAGGCACACATGCACACGCACAAAACGAGACACACGTGCACGTACAGGTACACGTACGCACCTGTACACAAATACACGCTCATGCCTGCACACACACAGCATAGGAGCGAGGAACAGAGCTTGATCCCAAAGGCCTGGGCACAGTCCCACTCTGGGTGTTGAAGTCACAGTCCCTGGAATGTTCTAGACGCCAGGCTCCGGGCCAGCCCACCTTGGTGATGAAGCCTTCCTGGGAACACAGCTGGTCAATGTAGCTGAGGAGACCCGGGTCCGGGTAGGTCGCTCCGTCCTGCTGGGGCTCCTTTCCATCCTCTCCCCATTCACCCGCGGGCGCGGGCGGCCCTGGGGCCGAGTGGGCGGGCCCCAGCAGCCCCTCCATGATGTCCACGTACTCTCTCACAGCCTCAGGGGGGATCTCCTTGGGTGCCTGGCTCTGGGCCCGCGGGGGCCTGTGTGGCCGCAGGCAGGCTGGCTGGGGCCTGGAGCCAGCCTTCCTGGGAATGCACGCTGAGGCAGAGCGGGATGGAGAGGGGGGTGAGGGGGGCTCCAGCTGCGTGTCAAGAGGGCAGGTTTTAGGGGACACTGATGTCAGTAGGGGCTGGGTCAGGGCCACCTGAAGCCTAGGCAGCTGGGCGAGGGGAGCTGAGGAGAGGAGCATCTAATAGGGTCTCGTGCGAGCAGTGGAGGACGCACCGACTCCCCAAGGGTCTCCCCACACGGCCTGCTCCCCAGGCAGAGTTTGTGTTGGGTCCTTTGATGGGGAGGTGGGAGAGTAGTCACCAGGCTGACCAGGTCAATGCCCCCCGGTGACAAAGGGCAGCAGAGAACCCAGGCTCTCTGTGGCTGGGCTGGTTGAAAGACCACAGCTCGTGGGAAGGAGAAGACGGGACGTGGACACAGCAGCCTTCCTCAGGCCCCGCTGCCTTCAGGCACCAGCTCCCTCGGGAATGAGGGTGTCATACCTGGCTGCGGGCCCCCCTCCGGGGCTGGGAGCCCCCGTGGTTCAGGCTTGGGTGGGGCCGGAGGAGGCGGGCCTTGGGTCTCCCTCACCCACTGCAACTTCTGAATCTGCATCTCCTCCTCAGCCTCAAACTCCATGAACCTGGGGGTGAGGAGACCCAGGCCACACTGAGGATTGGCCAGGCCGTGGAGCCCAGCAACGGAGGGGCCGGTGGAGGGACTGGCAGGGGCAGTGACCGGGAGGGGCAGCCATGGCCCTGGACCCCAGGAGGCAGCAGGCTGGCTGATCTGGCCCAGCGCCCCCACCCACAGAGAGGGTCCCACCTCCCCAGGGTCACAGGTTCACCAGCCCCCTGGAAGCTGAGAGCTTAACGTGGAGGCCGGGGTGGGTGTCGATCAGAGTGGGGTTGAAGCCCCAGGCAGGGAGGTGAGGAGGACCCTGTGGGACAAGCACCTGCACGGCCCGCCCTGTGCTCAGCCCGGCCTCACGCCCACCAGCCTGCGACCGGGACCCTGACTCACTTTCCTGCCATCTCATAGTAGATGACCCGGTCAAAGTTGCTTCTGTGCTGCCACTCGAGCACGGCCCTCCACACTCCCTCCTCCAGCGTCATGGTGGGCTTCAGGCGGGCCAGGGACCGAAGCACTGGGCTGTAAGCCCGCGGGGTCAGGCGACTGCGGCCTGGTGGCCCCACGCTGCCCCACCCCCACATGTGGAGTGAGCACGCGTCCCCCGCCCAGCATGACCGAGTGCTGGCAGGTGACACGTGGTGTCTGGCTGTGCAAACCAGCCCTCCAGGCGACCACTGTCCCTGCGTCACGCTGTGCAGCCCCGGGCCCTGGGCTCCAGGCCGACCACCCACCGGCACCTGGATCAGGGAGCTCTTTCCCCCAGGAGCCTGCATTCCATAATAATCATGCTGACTACGACGGGCCAGGCAACGAGCCGGTCCCCAGCGGGAGGCCCGTCACCCCGTGTCCCCGGGGGACCCCAGAGGCCCTGCACCAGAGGTGCGTTCCCAGAGCGGGGACCTGCTCACAGCCTCCTCTCCGCACCCGACACTCCCCCTCCCCCGGGTCCATCCCAGAGGCCTGGCCAGGGCCGTGGGGCTGAGGCCACTCACATGAGGAAGCAGGAGAGGGCCTCCGTGTCTGGGCTCTGCGGGAGGTAACTGCGGGCCAGGTCCTTGAAGCGCTGCCAGCGCCGGAAGTTCTCGTACACACTCCTGGGGCTGCAGCAGTCCTCGGGCGCGGCCTTGGTGGGGCCGCCGGCCGGGCTGCCCCGCCAGGGAGCTGCGTGGGGCTGTTGCCCGACGGTCACCAGGGGCACGATGGGGCTCAGCAGGACCGCACGCGGTGGAGCCTGAGGTCGAACGCCTGGGGTGGAGCCTCCCTTGCCGGCCCAGGTGCCCCCGACGGCCGGGGTGGACATACTGGTCTCCACTGCTGAGGTCGCCAGGAACAGGGGTGCGGGACACCCAGCACCCCCACAGAGGGACCCTGGAGCACTCCAGTGAGCGGGGGCCTGGGTCAGGACGATGGTCGGAGTCTGGGGGGACTCTGCGGGCCCCCGCTCTGACCTGACCTGCACGATGACATTGCAAGCCACGGTCCCCACTGAGCCATGGCCGCCATCTCCTGCCACCAACGGTGTCCTGGGGAAAGTGGGCAGCACCGCGGGGCTGCCAGGAGGGAATGGCGGGGTCACGTGGGGCGGCGAGTGCCGCCCCCAGGGTGACCAGCGCGAGGGGCCAGCAGCAGCTGGGGGAAAGGGCTGTGCCGAGAAAGAAGACATGGAGGCCTCCGGGTCCGTGGCCACGTGCGGTCCCAGCACTGCAGATGCTGTGAACAGAAGGAAAGAGCAGGATGGAGCCAGAGGATCGGCAGCCAGGACAGCGGATCCGGGGCCCCTTTTCTCACTGGGGAGCAGGGTGGTGAACTGCAACACGAGAGGGACGTTTACAGGAAAAGGTGGAGTTTGCCAGCGTCCTGGAGTGATTGCCGTGCTCTGGCCTCCAGATGAGAATTACTGTCCTCGCCCCTTCCATCAA